GTGGCCTGCCGCAACCAGAAAAGGTTCTGTCTGTCTACACAGCATAGCCACAATCAATGATCTTCCTGCAGGAGCATGTGGGCCCTTGCAGCAGGATGACACTCCTTTCCTGAACAGAAGGGGATTATTAAAGCCTCTGAGTCACCAAGCATCAGGCGTTTTTAGAAACATCCTCCGTCCTCCATCACCTCTGCTTTTGCCATTTTTCACAGACTATGGGTTCTTGAGATTGTACATGCCAACATCTGTTGGGAAATGACCACTGCTAGTTTACAGGGCAGGAGGGTCCGAGTCATTTATTCCTTCTCCCCACACCACCCAAGTCACACTTTTCAGCCCTGCAAAACACAGGGGACCTTGCCAGATGCCAACTCCTCACATCTCTCAAACAGCCTCTGATTCGTGCTTCTGGTTCCTTCCTCACGCCAGAGCTAGGAGGTGAGGCTGCGTGGCCACGTGATCCCAGGCTGGCTCTGTCCACAGAAAGCAGTAAGGCCATGGGGGTGCCCCACTGCTCCTGGAGTTGCTGCTCACCCTGGGCAGGAGCTGCTGGTCATCCCAGAACGCGCATTCCCGGATGTTTCTCCACATCCCAGGCTCGGCGACTCTAGCTCGGAACCTGATCGCAGACTCTGCTCCATCCATCCCTGGAGGAGCCTCCTTTGTGGCAAGGAGTGCAGGGGTCATGCTCCAGGACCCAGCTCTGCACTGTCACTGCACAGACACTCACGGCCCGACCAGCCTCCCGCAGAGAAGCCAGACTGTCCTCAGCACCCAGACAGGCGGCAGGGCCTAAAGGGACCAGCCAAGCATCTCCCAGAAAGCGTTCCGCCCACAACGGAGCCTGCAGTGCAGGCACGGCTGCTCTGTCTGCCCATTTGTGGGATCCGGGGATGGGAGGATCCTGTGGGTGGGCTTGGGACAAGTCTCCCTAACTGGGGCAGGGGAAGTTCAGCATTTCAGGTTGCCAGTAGCTTGTTCTGTCACTGATGCCAACTCTTCCACTAACCATGCCCGCTGCCCTCTCACACACCGCGGCCTGTCTAGGCCTCTCTTTCGCCCCATCAGACCCTCAGGTCACAGGAAAGCTGTCCCATAACGCCACCCTCACTCCCTCGAGCAGGGAACGGGCACGCCAGGGGCAGCCTGGTCTCAGAGCTAGGTAGTGAGTTTCCCGGGAGGCAGAAGGCTCCAAGCTCTCCTATTCCTGCAATGCTTCGTTGTCCAGACTCCCGGCCCTTCCCAGGACCAGTAGCAAGACAAGCTCCATGCAGGAAATGTCCCAGCATGGATAATGACAGAGCCACCACCCCCAGATGCTCTCCTTAGAGCCTTCCAAGTTTCTTTTTTTATCCTCTTAATATGAAAAACTGACAAAAAGTTTAGCTCTTTGAGAATATGGATGTGCTTGGTATGGAAGAAACTGTCTCTTTCACACACACAAGCACCCCGCCATCTGTTGTACAGCTTGTGTCCTATTGCTTAAAGCAAAACCCCTTCTCCTTCTTGACCGGGGGGGTGGGGGGGGGCATGCAGAAAGCCTGGGAGCCCACCAGTGATTCTGGCGAGTCAGCAGAGGAGCCGGAGGCTATGGTGCCCAGTATCACCCAGACCACCGGCCAGTGCTCAGAACCCCTGAGCTGCAAACACTTGGGGGTCTGTGTGGTTCTGGGGACAGAACCTGGTTGGGTGAGCTGCTGTACTCCTCCCTGGCCCTTCTTAATCTTGTTTTTAAATAATACTAATATTTTATTTTATTGAATCACCATGAGATAGAGCATTACAAATCTGTTCATGAATGGGTTCCAGTCATACAGTGTTCCAACACCCATCCCTACACCAGTGAACATTTCCCGGCAGCAGTGTCCCTGATTTCCTCCCAACCTACCAAATCACCCCCAATGCCAGGTTGTCCTCCATGACAGTCACTTGTCTTCTCTCTCTCTCCCTCTCCCTCCCTCTTGATCTCGCTATCGTTTCAGGCATTATGGTTTACAATACAGATGCTGAGAGGTTATCGGGTATATCCCTTTACCTACTTTCAATACTCCGTTCTTGTCCAGAGTGATCATCCAAGACCTCTTCAGTGACACCACAAAGACACCTGGGACCTCAGTACTTGCCTCCACAGCTGACAGTGTAACCCCAGAGGAACGTCTTTATGGGGCCTCTTCAATTGCCTCCCATCTTCCTTTCTGGCTGCACACACAACCCAACTCTCACCAAAAACAGAGACAGACCAAGGGAGGAGGGAGTCTTCCAAGCTGGCACAGACTCCCCCATTTTCCTGACACATTCAGTAAAACATTGATGGAATACAAACTATTTTAACCAAGACCCAGAACATCAGTCACCAATCCTGTTAGCAAATAACCAATCATGCCATCCCATCAGGAACCAATCAAAACCCATTCTGGCAGCCTCTCAGCCCTCTTTGCCACCTGTCCTCTTCTCAGCTGTGCTGTGTTTCACCCGTGCTGTCTGTCTGTCCTTCCAGCACACCCCTCAGTGAGGTGCTTGCTCCCTCATCCTCCTCTGTTTGAAGCTCATCTCCCTCCTACTGCATACTGTGGCCTCATCATCATCTTCAACATCATCTTTAGAATCTACACAGTTCACTACAAAAGAACAGCCCCCAAAAGGAGCAGAAGAGTGGTGCAAACACTACTCTGGAGAAGACACACAGATAGCCACCAGAGTGATCATCCAAGGCCAGACAAAAGGAAAACGCTTACCATCACATACCAGCATCATTGTAAATGTAAGTCAGAACCCCGATGCTGTCAATGCCTACTTACAAGAACAACCTATATCAGATGGATCTGAAGCAAGTATTAGTGGCATTGCGGGGAAAAGGAAGCCACTGAACACTGCAGATGAGTATGTAAATGGGTTCAGCCTCTACAGAAAACAGTATGGAAGGTTCTCAAGACACTAAAGACAGATCTACTACATGATCCAGCAATTCCACTCCCAGGTATTTAGCCAAAGAATCTCAAAAAACTACTTTTTCACGAACCTTTTGCACTCCTGTGTTCACCGCAGCACTAATTACAATAACCAAGACACAAAAACAACCTAATGCCCTTTGGCGAATGAGTGGCTAAAGATGATGTGGTACATACACACCCCAGGCTACTCCTCAACCATAAGTAAAGTTGTGATTGTGTCATTGGCAAGAACATGAGTTGTACCAGAGAGGGTCATGCTAGTAAGTATGAATTATGGAATAAGTCAGAAGGAGAGGTACAAATAACAGGCAGCCTCACTCACATGCAGAATACAAGAAGACAAAGCAAGGAAGTAGACAAAACCAAATCAAAACACTTCAACTTTCTTTCCAGGCACAGTCTTAAATGATTTTTTAAATAAAAAAAATAAATAAGTGTCTCCACACAGTTCCATCCCTAGCACTGCATATGGTCCCCAAGCACTGCCCAAAGTAAGCCCTGAGCTCTACTGGATAAGCCCCCTTTGGGGGGGGAGGGGGAAATGTGAAGAAGAAGATATAAGAAAGGCATACACTGCCCCAGCAAACACTGAGGAATAAAATAACATCTTAATGATGGGGTCAAACTCTACATTAGTAAAAAACATTCACAAAAACTACTGAATGGGTTCTCTGTAGACAATATATTTTGTGTCCTGCAACTACACCAGCATGTAAGAGAATATGATTTTTTTTTTAACGAACTTAAACACAGACGCATTATAAAAATGTTTCTCGGTTCAGAAATCCCAGTGGCTCCATTGGTGGGTGTGGGGGATGGAAGTTAGAGCTGTAAAGGAGCAAGGTGCCCGCTGGGGGACGGACCCGGCCTATACGCTCCCTTCCCCCGGGCACATGCCCTCGTCACCTTTCAGTTTATTCTCCTGTCCTTGGTGACTTCTCGTTCTTTCTGGAAGCACTGTCCTCTCTGGCACGACTTTGCTGGCTGACAAGTCCCCTTCCTGCTGCTATTTGCTGCAGCCATGGCCCTGGTTGTTGTTTCTATGGATGAATCCTGGATTTCTGTTTGTTCGTCCCTTGAGGCCTGTGAGAACTTCGGGGCTCCAAAGGGACAGCTTTCGTCCAGGTCTGAGTCAAATTCAAGTTGGTGAGGAATGGAGGTGCCACCCTCTCAGACTCCTCGACCTACAGGCTATAATTGTCCCTCCTGAGAGTCACAATGCACAGTCCCACTCACCCAGACACAGAACCCTGCATGCCTCCTGCACCTACTTGCACTCACCAACGGGCAATCCCTGGACGCCAATTCCCAGATCTGAGACCCAAGATCAACTTCATGCCCCCTAGCAACTGTGAACGTCAGATGAGTTCAGAAAGAGAATTTCTGCCCCTCCCCACCTAAACAAAATACACAGGCACACACACACATACCATACACACACACACACACAATAAGCCTTTGTCACCATGTACAGTCACATACCATGCCTATAAATTATGAAAAAAAAAACGTCAAAAAAATCTTTGATTGCTCAACTTGTCTTTTCACAAAACAGCATTATACTTGGAACAATAGTAAAATAATAATAATAATAAATAAATAAAGGGGTCTTTTCATAGAAGAACTTGGGTCTTACAAGTAAGACGCCTGTAAAGAAAACTGAAGTTGGGATGCCTGCTTCCAAACTCTGTGACCCAGTGGATAGGGAAGATGGGGACAGAGAAGGGACTCAGCCGCCACCGTGTACACAAGCCTCTGCTGTCACTATGCACACACACAAGCCACGCTCTAACCATTGGACCAAGTTTCAAAACCAAGAGATGGGCGGCTTCTGCCTATTCCCAAAGGATCACGGCAGCAAGAGCCAAGTGAAGGAACAAGCACGTGGCTCCAAGAACACATAGTAGTGTGCCACGGGGTCTGAGGCATCAGATGGTTTGGGGCAGATGGAATTTTAATCCATCCACTTCCTTCCAGGAAGCTCAGAAGCCCACGCTCATTCCCAGGACCATCAGCCCACCCTGGCCCTAGCTGGGGTCTGGAACTCACCTGCCCGCCAGGTTCAGGGGCCTCCTCACTGTGACAGCCATAGTAGTCTGGGGTTCTGTCCAGTTCCTGCAAGTGTCCTTGGGCTCGGACGCTCTTATCCGCGTGGCAAGATGGGCAGAGAGCGGCATTGCCCATCTTGGCTCTAGAACGCCTGCAGCCGGGGGGCGTGTCCTTGCTTGAGCCCAGGCGACCCCCGTCGTTCCCCTGCCCGCGCCTCACGGGGGCTCCCCATCTGCTGGCTGGCCAGTGTCAGAGAGAACTTAAAACCCCAGCAACTGCAGGCCGCATTGAGTGACCACGTCCAATTCAGGCACCGCTGGTCTATTTTTACACCTACCAGGCCAGCTATGCATGTCAATGGGGCGAGGGGGGCGAGGCGGGGGGAGCGCATGGGAGGGGGCGGTGTTTTGTTTTTCACCATGTGAACAGCCCGCTTTGCACACAAACTTAAGTTCCTGCTGGGCAAAATGTCCCTGCACAAGAGAATTTTTGCACTGGACACCAGTGCCTCTGATCTTTTCTCTCTGCACGCGAGGAACGTTCTCTCTGGTCCGCGCCTCGTTTTACCAACTGGCAGGGGAAAACTAACTTGGCCATTACTGCAACCAAGAGGCATCTGCTGTGCTTACAAACACGCTCTTCCCCATGATGATTTATGGGAGAAAAAAAAAAATTAGTCACCCTTTCGGAATTGGGAATTCGATGGAAACTCATCGATCACCACAGCTCATCTGACCCTGGGTTGGATGTTTTGCATTTTATAAATTATGCCCAGTTTTTCCATTTATTAATGAGCGTGCTGTGGAAGAGCAAAGAGGGGGATTCGAGCATATATATTTTTAATTTTTAGTGCTTTTGAAAATGTTTCTCCAGAAAGATTTAAAAAAAAAAAAAGGCTTTCAACACTATACATGCTATCTATGAAAGGAACTGGTTCTTACTGAACGAGCAAAGCAAATACAGTTGATATATGAAGCCAATTATAACAAACAAGGCTTTGTAGCAGACAATTATGGATGAAATTTCATTTTCCTCTCTAGAATCTTCTCAACTCTTTAATGCATAAATATTTGAATATTAATCCTACCCTTCTTCATTTGCTACGACGTGGGTATATATATGAGCTCTTCTAAATAGGTTTTAATCTACTCAATGGAAGGGCCCAGACCTAGAGTTTATACCATTCCATACCTACATGTTATATAGTTAAATGATAATTTTTTTAAAGAGATGCACAGAATTGAAAGCAATCATCATCTGGGGAAAACTAGATGTATAAAACATTTGAAATTTACCCATATTCCATCTGATAAGCCTCACCTTTCCAACTATTTAAAAAAAATATTGCCATTTTCTTTTAATGTAAACACCATACCTGAAACAGTGTATCACTCCATACTACTGCCCCAAACCCCACAAACTCAAATCTAGAAGGACATTTTAAAAACTTTCCACCTGAGTAGGGTTGCTGGGAGTAAAGAAAGATAACTAAGAACATAAGTTTCAAAACTATTATAAGCATAATACCTTAAAAAAGAGAAAAAAATTTTTAATTTTCTTCCATCAGAACCCCAGGGCCAATTTTTTTCCAATTCCACCTGGAACAATTCTTTCTCCTGAAGTTGGTGAGTCTAGACTATATATATCAAAATAAATATTCAAAATAAAGGAACCCTCCACCCCAATTTCTGAGAGGCAATAATCAGTAGTAAACAAAATTATTTGATAAAATTATTTGTACGGGTCAGCTAGGGGATGAAAGCATCTTCTAAAACAATTTTTCTAAAATGAACTTACTGAACCAGTGATGTAATTCAAGTAGTGGGGGAGGCTTAACTTCCCTCTTGGTGTTGAAGTGGCACAAAATCTCCCCCTTTCTACGGGAAGGGTTTGGGTGAAAGCATTCACAAGAGGTTTCAATACCAATGATACCTGGATTGCATGGCTGATTGAGATCTACCAAGTAAATCTTACCCTAGTTTGTCTGAATTATTTCCATGTAAACTAATGATTCATCATTACATGGTTATTGTGTGTGTATGGTAGGGAGGGGGGAGGGGGACAGGGAAATGACACCTGTCAAGGCTTGGGGTAACCACATGTGGTGCCAGGGACAGAAACAGGGCTGACTGCATGCAAAGCAAACGCCTCACCTTCTGTAGTATGCCTCTGGTACACTACATAATGGTAATTTTTCATTAAATGTTTCAACTATTTTTTTTCTTTTTGGGTCACACCTGAAAATGCACAGGGGTTCTCCTGGCTCTGCACTCAGGAATTACTCCTGGTGGTGCTCAGGGGACTATAGGGGATGCTGGGAGTCGAACCTGGTTGGCCGCATGCAAGGCAAACACCCTACCTGCTGTGCTATCGCTCCGGCCCCGCTCAACTATTTTGTTTGTTTGTTTTTGGTGCTGGGAAATAACATTCAGCCTCATGAACTGGAAGCACGTGCTGGACACTGAGCTCTGGACAGAGTCCCACATGTTCAGTGTACTTGAATGCTGTGCCAGGGACTAGGGACAGGAAAGTGTCCTGTTTACCAATGGACTCACTCATGTTTACCAACTCACTTACGGGTAACCCTAAAATGAAGTGCTTCTCATATTCCCATCTTCTTCCTAAGGTTCTTAGAATCTTACAATATTTGTTTTTCTTCGTTGAGAGGATGGGGAAATGGTGGTAGGGATTGGGCCACACCCAGGAGGGCTCAAGGCTTACTCGTGACTCGGTATTCAGGGATCACACCTGACAGTACTCAGGGTACCATATGCAGTACTACGGATCAAACCAGGATAGGCTACATGCAGGGTAAGTGCCTTAACCCCTGGGGCTCCAGTCCAGGAATCTTAAAATCTTCAAAGACTCTTCACAACAGTGCTACCTGAATATCTTACAAGCACTGTGACTCAGAATAAAAACTAAGATCTTACCAGTAAAAAAGGTGCGCCCTGCTATTGGAATCAGTTGCTTTTAAAGCAGGACAATTCAACAGTCAAGAATCACACACTTCAAACCGGAAACAAATTCCAAACCTTTTTTATAGCCTCCTCTCTTCATCCTAGTGCTAAGACCAGAAACCCTGAACTTCTACAAATAAAAAACAAAAACAAACCTATTTCACCACTACCTATGAGGGAAAGATGTCTCAAGGTGCTAGCTGCATAATTTTGTCATGTTTGGGGGTGAGGTGGGGTGGATGCTCTTCCTGGCATCCTTCTACTTCATCATTAAGACATTACATACATTCTATCCTCTGCGCCTCTCTGCCTCTCTTTTAGCCAAGCTCATCTTAAAGTGTCTTTTGCCTGAAAGTCTTAGTAATGCCTATGTACGTACATAACCTGTTCTTTTTTTTTTTCCAAAAATGCATAAGTTCCTGCATTCTGCACACAAGATGACGTGTGTCTCTCTCACAGATGGGGAAAACACATGCTGGTGTGAAAACATTGGTCAAGAAATAAAAGGCATCCAAGAGAGTACATTATTTGTAACATGAACTAAACTGCAGGGACTTAAATGTTCTCTTTCGACTCACGACCAACAGGAACAGATCTAGTCATCTTCTCCGTGACTAATCTTCCATCTCACTTCCACGTAAGATCTACGACAAACACCTGTTCAGTCTCTGAAGAAAAAAACTTAATGGCGTGAATTTTCCCTCAAAGAGGGGGAAAAATTCATAAGGCATATAGAGACTGTGAAGCAAAAATAAACAGCAGCAGCAACCCAAAGGGACGATGCTGGCAACTCTTAGGAGATTCTGTTTCTTGTGTATGTGTCAGGGAGGAGGGAGAATATCCCTTGATGTTCAAGGGTTACTCCTGACTCTGCACTCAGAAATTACTCCTGGCAGTGCTTGAGGGACCACATGGGATGCCGAGATCAAATCTGGGTTGGTCACATGCAAGGCAACCACCTTACCCTCTGCACGATAGAAACGACTGTTTCTAAATGACTAAAAATGAGCCTCTTGGCTCTTTCCTCCATCCTGGACACCTTTCCCTTCTTTCCCTAAAAGACTCTGTTTGCTGACTGGAACATCCACTGGAACATCCAACTCCCATCATTAGGGCCACCCCAAACAGACCCCACAGGGGTTTCCAGATCCAGCTCTTAGGTTGAGTGACCCAGTCAGAATGAGCTTGGTCACACGCGGACAAGATTCCTGCCACTACCCAGCTGTCCTATTTCTCACTGTATGACTTAAAGGCTGAGCAGAGAAGACCTAAGAGCTGTTTAAACAGGATGTGAACCAACAGTTTCCTCTATTTGATCATTCTAATCAATGACTTGGTGTGTTCCAAAACATGGGTGAGATGGGTAGGCAGAAGAAGGCCATTACTTTGGATTTCAAACATTTATTAGTGTGATATTCATAGATACACATTACATTATATATATGTATGTTTATATATACTGTACAAACACAGAAAAACAAACACTGTCCTCCCGTTGTTCATCGATTTGCTCGAGCAGGCCCAGTAACGTCTCTATTGTGAGACTTCTTGTTACTGTGTTTGGCATACTGAATACTATTGGTAGCTTGCCAGGCTCTTCGAGATACTGTACATACTTATTTATTTCTGGGACCTCTTGGGGAGCTATGAAGGATCTCTGGAGTTGCTCTTGTAATCCTAGGTACTGTGACCATCTATACACCTGACATTTAGTCCAGTGGGAGGAAGGTCAGCAGATAGTGCGTGGCACCCATGCCTTAATAATGTGTCTGCAGACTGCCGGGATCACTGTAGACATCTGAAAAGGAAAATGCTTTCTGCCAGAGCAGAACAATCTTACCACTGTTCTCCAAAAATGCTTCCAAGTCATTAAGGGCAAATTACTCAGCAAGCAAATATTTGCAAGTTTGGCAACACTGAGTGCAAGAGACTTGAACTTGGTGTGTGATTTAGAAAGTGAAACTTAAACCCCCCACGATATGACATAATTGCAGTATCTCCTTCAGTTCCCAGGCACTAGTGCTATATTATTTCATTTGTGTCGCTACGTTTCAAATCCATCCTAGGAGAAGAGCAATTAAGGACTAAGGATCCAGGCCAGCTTCTCAGCTGTCGTCTTGTGAAAAGTCACAGCTGAAAACCAGCCTCTTCAGTTCTAAATTTCACCTTTTGAATAAGAGGCGATGATTAGGGGATCATCA